TCTTTTTTCCATTTAGCTAGTTGGAACTTGATTTATACACCAAAGTCCAACTTCGGGAAAAGTGAGTGAGGTAAAATAATAGGAAACCAATATGGGATGTGACTTAGGCATAAGCGCATAAAACATGATCCTAAACATAGGTCATCTGACCCATAATGCAAGTGAGTTGGTAGATATTCTCTATGATTGTAATCACACATATGCATATGATTGTAGGCTACCCTAGTCTCTACAGCAACCAAAAACAGTAGTGAAAGAGTAGAACTCAGTTTCTCAAGAAAAGCCAAAATTGCACCTGGTGCATTTTCCCAACAAAGTGTGTTTTCCATGTTTTGCATCAAAACTAAGGTAGAAAGCAAAAAGGTTGAGTTTTATTAAATTTCTTGATAGTTAAAACCCCAAACAACAACATTTCACCATTATTTTCTTCATAAACCACAATTGCATATTTGAACTATTCACTTCTTTTAAATTGTTTTGAAAAGCAACAAGTCTCTAAGGATTCGACCTTGGATTACTACCAGGTATTACTTGTGACCGTGTGCGCTTGCACGAGTCTCTAATCTTTTTGAAGATCTAGAAAGTCCAACAAATCTCATTCAAAACTAACTTTATATTATAATGAATCCATATACATAATGTTAATTGTATCTTATACAATTAACCTACAATCCCTCATTTAAATTGAATAATTCAAATTCTTTAAAAAAATTTTGATTATTGTTTTACCCGTTGTGTGCTAGTGGGGGTACCTAATGGACCTACATATTAGAAGATCCAATGATACGAGATTAAATTATTAAACTCATTAACCAAAGTAATCAATATTCGTTAACTGTGGGTCACTCCATTAAATACTCACAGTTGTACTCTTGCACAGTAAAATATTTTGCATCATGGATATTGACCATTAACGGTAAGTCAATCCTTCACGAGTAATCGTAACCATAGCTAGGTCAAATTATTGTTTTACCTGTGTGTTACATCTTGTACCTTAGTACCGCTTATCTTATAATGAACAAGCCGGTTATGGTCGATCAATAATCGAAAGTCCCTACCGGCCTATTGAGAGGGTGGAGCCTCTTGTTCAAGTTTCAGAGTCAGCACTAAAGAGAACACTCATCTACTTTTCTAAAATCGGGGAGGAGTGATTTCCATCTTGTGAAGTTATGTTCCCAGCTCCCCACTCAATCTCGTCCCCAAAATGGTAGTAATGTTAAGTCGTTGACTTGGGCCAGTCTCACCTATACAAATCAAAGGACGAGCCCTAACAGGTAGGTGTCCATAACTCACTCAAGATTGAGATCGAGTTACCTAGTCATCTATTGAAATATTAAGCTATTAGCTAACAGTATCACAGCTAAAGATTAATTATTTCGTGGTCCCATCTTATACAAACTTATTGTATAGGATACCCCCACTCGCATGTCTCCACACGAACGACTTGGATCAAGTCATTTGTAACTATTACAAAGTGGGTCGTATCCATAGTGTTATCCGGATAAGGTACCCAACTTTACCCATATACTATAGACCCTTTAAGTTATTACTGGAATATTATCCACCTGTGTATCGAATATATGCTATATATATATATAGTTTATATCAAATATATATGTCGTATATTAAATATATACTGTATAGCTGTTATATATTGATTTAATTTACATGACATAACATCGGATGTTAGTTTATTGTATTTGGATTAATGAAATTCTAAAACAAACATAAAAAATAAACAAATTTATTGAACAAATATTTGTTTTATATTTACAAACCATGAGTTTAGGGCATAAACCCCAACAGCAGGGACCAGAGAGGAACTGGTTCTGGTTACTCGCACCTTACTCCATTTTAACTTAGAAGCAACTGCGGAAGACCTTTGTGGCTCAATTTTCAGCCCATAAGGATGTCGAGCATTCATATACCTACCTCTTTTCCTTTCTCTAGAAGCCGAAGGAGCCCATCTGTGGTTACATCAAAAGGATCTTTGTTGAGCAAATAAAATAGTAAAATATTGCACTGACCTACTTGCTTGCACCTCCTTCTGCAATGGGGTGATCCACGAGAAGTTGATCTGGTCACTCGTGAAGAAGCCTGAGCCCACTTTGAGGGGCTGCCTCCACTGGACTACCAAGTTCATAGAAGTAGAGGATACCATGTTGTCAAAGGACGACAGATACTTTAAGCGTGGTTCGCCGCCGAAGGCCAAAGAGAAGGACAAGGAAAAGAAAGACAATAAATCTTGTTCTTCGCACCTACTAAACTACGACTAGCGTGTTGACCAGCGGTCTGACAAACCTCAGAGGTGCAACATGTTCACCTAGTTGAACGTCCCTATTTCTAAAGTCTTGGCTAACATCCAAGATGCGAGGCTCGACCTGCTGAAGGATTCGAAGCCGCTATGCTAAGATCCCGACCAACGCGACAGGTCAAAATACTACCGTTTCCACCGAGTTCACAACCATTTCACCTCTGACTGCTATCACTTGAAGCAAAAAATCGAGGGCTAATTCAACAAGCCTACATTAAGAAGTACGTTGGGAAAAAGAATTGGGAGAGCAACTCGAAAGTGATGAGCAGTTAGAAAGATGAGAAGAAGGAGAGGTCAAGAGAAAAAGGAGAGGTCCAAGACTCCCCTCAAGTGTGAAGATCGACCTCCGGAGATTAACACCATCCATGGAAGACTAAGTGGAGGCCAATCAAGCAAGAAACGTAAGGAGCTAGTGAAGGGATTGAATCCTTAGGGGAAGCACGTGAACGCGTTTCTCGAATTTTCCAATTGAATTAAGTCACATAGAGAACTAAATACATAGGACAAATGGTTACCTCTGAAAAACCTTTTCTTCACAGTAGATCAATCGAACACCGACAGCACCACAAGGACTTCCTCACTATCCTGTGGACGAGAACCGATTTATGGGAACTGTCTTTGAAATAGATATTTTTCAAGAGATTGTAAGAAAATGAGAGAGTTCTTTTAAGAGAGAGAATATGGAATTTTGCACTGGAATTTTGCACCAAATTGCACCAACCCCTCCATAATGCAAATTCTTTGCAGTTAAAGAAGAGTGAGGAGTGGGGAGCAAGTTAACTTCCCACCTCACCATAATTCCACTTCCTTACATTAAGCCATTTAGTTAATTAGAACTAATTTAATTAAACTAAATAAGGAACATAATTTAATTATTTAACTAATTAATTATGTTTTTGTTTTAGTTAAATATCATATATTTAATTACAACTTTATTCAAATGCACATCTCTCTCATAACCTTTAGCTTTAATGTAAATCTCATTCGCATTAATTTTAACCTATAGATTTAATATGAATCTGTTGGGTTTTATGTCCTCAAACTTATAGTTTGTAAATGCCATATATACTTTTATCATTCAATAAAGTTGTTATTAAAAGTTATAATCAATAAGTAGTTATTGATCCAATAAAATGTTTTTACTAGATCTAAATCCAATAAACTAAGGATCCTAGACTGTTACATGAGACTCAAACTTTATGTAGAGACATAAATATGGATCAAGTTTGAGTTAACAGTTTAAATTGTTTAATGGTCTATAGTATAGGAATAAGGTTGGGTGCCTTATTCTAGAGACACTATAGATGCGGCCCACTTTGCAGCTAGTACAAACGATGTGATCCTAATTCGTTCATATAAAGACATGCGAGTAGGGGCATCCCGTGCAAAGAGTTTCATAAGACCGGACCATGAGATAGTCACTTTTACTTTATAACACTATTTACTGTCTGAAACTGACTATCTCGACTTTGATGGCCTAGGTAACTTGATCTTAATCCTGAGCTAACTATGAACTTCTATTTACTCGGGACTATCCTTAGATCTGCATGGGTGAGAGCAGCTCAACAGCGCTGGCTCAATAAGCCTCCCATTTCAGGGGTAAGACCAGGTAGATAGCTAGGGACATAGGGTGCAAGAAGAAATTCACTTCTACCCAATTTTGGGATAGTAAAGAGGTTGTTCTCTTAAGGGCTTAATCTAGGTCTTGAACAATTGGCGCCACCCTCATCATAAGGTTTGAGAGGATTTTTTGATTTGATATTTGGACTACAAATCATTGTTCATTAGAGGATCAGTGGGACTTAAGAAACAACAGGTAATTACAGGGGTAAAACGATATTTTGACCTAGTTGTAATTACGAACAACCTGTGAAGGTTGACTTACCGATCATGGTTATATCAAATGGACATAATATATCTCCAGTGAGGAGAGTGCAGCTACGGGCTTTAGTGGAGTGAACCGATAGTTAACGAATGTTGGTTAACTAGGTTAACGAGTTGAACCGGTTAATCTCGGATCGTTGGAGCTCATGATCTGTAGGTCGATAAGGTCCCCTAACTAGCTCATATAGGAATAAACTTGAAATAATTTGAAGGAATAATTCGAATTGTACGAATTAGGTTAATCATATGAGATATGATTAAGTAATTGATATATGATATCAATTGAGAAATTTGTTCAAAATATTTAAATAGGATTTAAATATTAAAATTATGAATGCGGATTCATAATCGGAGGTATAGATTTCGTCAAACAGTCGGATTTCAGAAAAAGTCAAATAGTTGACTTTGACCAGAGAAAGTCAAAGGTTGACTAAAAAGATTAAAATAATGTTTTTAACGAAGTTGGTGGAAAATTCCACCAGCTTGTTGAGTAGGACATTTAAATAATCTCAAAAAATCTACGTTTTGACACTTAACCATGGCATGCATGAGTGGAGTGTGCGTTGTAAGCTTTTGGTGAACATAGACATGCATTTTGACACTTAGTCATGCCATGCATGAGCGGAATATGAGTTGTAAGCTTTTGGTGAACTTAAGCATGCATTTTGACACCTAGTCATGCCATGCATGAGTGGAATATGTGTTGTAAGCTTTTGGTGAATTTTTACATGCAAGAATTGCATGTAATTTGCCTATTTAAGAAGGCCTTTCTTCAAACATTGAAAAACTCTTGGAACCTTTGGCCATTTGATGGTTTTGAAAAAGCTTACATAACTCCTTTGAGCTCCATATTTCTGTCAAATTTTCCTTCTCTAAAAAAGTCTCACTACTCTATTCCAAGCGTTGAGAATAGCTAGGAAGACCTCTTGGTGGTACTCATTGGAGCTATTTGAAGAAATTTGAAAAGCTACAAAGACAAGTAATTTTCTCTACCTTTCTCTAAGCATGATAATGTATGTGTTGGAATTAATTTAATAATTAATTCATATGTGGGTGACAAATTAAAAAGCAATTATATTTGGGCTATTTAATGGACATATGAGTGATCTTGATTATGGGCCCATGAATTCCCGTTGAGTGGTGTGGCTTGCTGAGTAGAAACCAGCCCATTAATCTTATGAAATTATGGGAAACCCTAGGATTAACTTATAAATATATGGTTATGGTGTCCAATACACTACGCTTCTTGAGCCTCCTATTCTCATCAAACAGAGAGTATTGCCCATATTTGGTCTGGGTTGCATAGTTGAAGAAGACCACAAACCACACAACTTCTTGTAGATCATGGTCAATCTATCTAATTATTCAAGGTAATTCTAATCTCTTTATAGATTGTGGTTTTCTTCCATGCTTAGATCCTTGGTCTTGATTGTTCTGGAATTTTATGGCTTTTATTTTAGAATAATCATGATTAGGATTTATTTAAATTTTCCAACAAGTGGTATCAGAGCATGGTTTTGTATGGATGATTACTGGATCTTTGTCAATTACTTTTAGGTATGTTGTTCCTTTAATAACCCATTTGTTTAAACTACATGCTATGGAATTATTTAGATTGATGATGTGTTAAACAATTTTGCTTGACTTAAAATCTTTAATTGTTGAAATTTCTGTCCATGAATGATTTGATAAGTTTAATGGTTTAAGTTTACAAATTCGTAGATATAAGAAATATTTGATTAAAGACGAGAAAGAAAAAAAAGAAATAAGGAAGAAAAAAAAAGTCGTGAAGGTTGCGGCACCTACCCCATAAAGGATTGGTGCTAGGGCTGTAATTCTCTGGCACTAATGAGGGAGAATGGTGCAGTGGGCCCCACAACACTTTAAAGTAAGTTTTTTTTTCTTTTCTTTGTCATTTATTAATTTTTTAACAATTGTTTATATATATATATATATTTATTTATTTATTTATTTATTTATTTATAATATGTTATAAATATTTATGGGTATAACAAAATGTTGATGACGTTTAATTTTTCTTTTCAAATTATGCTAATTAAAAGTTGATTTTTATGGTGATAAATTAACAATACTTGGCACAATTTTTAATTCTTATGAATATGTTGATGCATGAAAATATTGTTGTTAATGGTTGAAAATAACCTAAGGCATTTTATTTTCATATGGAAACAATTAAGAATCATTAAATAATAATTTTGTGAGATTTCAGTATTGTTGTTTATACGAATTGTGATCGGTCCAAAGGAAGGTAACAATTTGACCAAATAACAAATACACTCACAATTATGGAATTTGTTTATGCAAAGATGTGCACAACAGTGTGTTCCTGATTGCAACTCGAACTCGGCCTCCGTACCGAGCTGAACATTTGGGCGGACCTGCACAAAAAGGTGAGCACTCCGACGATCAAGTCAGTATAGGTCGGATTCCAAGTTTAGTTCGAAGCCAGAAATCATCATACCTGATCGGGGAGTGAGGTCCTCTACTTATGGGTGGCGGTCCCGCTAATCTCGCGACGGTTACATTCGGTAATCTCGGGACCGTCGGTTACACCCGGTGATCTCGGGACCGACGGTTACGCCCGATAATCACGCCGCAGACAGTTGCTCACATCGGCCCC